CGGCTCCCTGCCCTGCCGGCGCCACCCAGATGTCTTGCCCAGCCGGCCCCAGCCCGGCTCCCTGCCCTGCCGGCGCCACCCAGACGTCTTGCCCTACCGGCGCCACCCAGACGTCTTGCCCAGCCGGCCCCAGCCCGGCTCCTTGCCCTGCCGGCGCCACCCAGACGTCTCGCCCTGCCGGCGCCACCCAGATGTCTCGCCCAGCCGGCCCCAGCTCGGCTCCCTGCCCTGCCGGCACCACCCAGACGTCTCGCCCTGCCGGTCCCAGCCCGGCGCCTTGCCCTGCCGGCTCCCCTCTGGTCTCCAGCCCTGCCGGCTCCCCTCTGGTCTCCAGCCCTGACGGCTCCCCTCTGGTCTCCAGCCCTGCCGGCTCCCCTCTGGTCTCCAGCCCTGCCGGCTCCCCACAGGCCTCCTGCCTTGTCTCCCCTGATAGACTCTCCCTGGGTCATCCCTCCTGCTCCTCCCTGGTGTTCCCTCCCTGCACCCTGGATGGACCCTCCGGCTCCACCCTGGCTCCCTGCCGGGGCCCCCGACCCACTGAATCCACCCTGGACTGTCCCTCCTGATCCTCCCTGGTCTTGCCCTCCCATCCCTCCCTTGTTTGTCTTGTTGGGTCTGGCTTGGCTTCCCTCCCTCCCCCCCTTCATGTTGTCTTGCCTGTTCACCTCCCTGTCTTGTGTCTGTTGATGTTGCCTGTTTTGTTGTCTTGTAGTGTTTCTTGTCTGTCTTGTACCTTGTTGGATGGTCCCTTTTGGGGGGGGGCTAGTGTCAGGGTTCTGCCACTTTGGTCTTGAAAATTCTTGTTTTGGTGGCAGAGCTCTGACACTTCTCATGTCTGGTCCTGTTTCTGTCTCTGTGTGAGCGCGCGCCGTCGTGGGTGTACGTAGAGTGTGCGCGCTCCTGCTTGACGCGGCCGCGCGCTCTGCGTCCCTCAGACGCGTGCGCTCTTGTACTCGTGTTTGTGTTTTCGTCTGTCAGCAGCGTGGTGTTTCATTCCCAGCGTCTCAGTCTTGTTGGTTTCGGTTTTGGTCGGCGCTGGGATGAAGCATGCACGCTGCGTGTGTGAGCGCACGGTGAGTTTTCATTCATCGTGTGCTCGTGTCTTGCATCTTTTGTCAAAGCACGTGGCTCGGTGTTTACGTTGTGGTCACGTGCTTTTGTCGTGTGCTTCAGTGTTGTGTTATGTGAGCGCATGGCTTGTATTGTCTCTCTGTGTCATGCGCTCTCCCGTCTATTGTCTAGTCCCACCCTCCTTGTTTACTCATTATTAGTTTGCCGTGTTCACCTGTGTGTCAAATTTACTTTTTGCTTTATAATCCCCCTCATGTTTTCAGTCCTTTGCCAGTTCGTCGTCGATATTACTCTGTCTTGTTGTCGTCTCCAGTCCTGTTTTGTCCTGCCAGCCCTGTCAAGTTTGTTTTTGCCTTTTTATTCATGTTTTCCCCTTCGGGGTAGTTTTTGTTTTGCCTTTTATTTTTATTTGTAGTTTATAATAAATATTCCTACATTTTTCTGCAATTGGGTCTGCACTCCTTTTTTTCCCTCACCGACCGTGACAAAATCAGTGTATAAAGGAGATGAATCTAAATATACATGTTTTTTTGATTCACAAAATTTCAAAAGGAATGAACTGTTTTCTGAACCTGCTATCTCTTTAATTTTGTATGTTGATGAATTTGACATATGCAACCCCCTTGGTACGTCCAAGAAAAAACACAAAGTTTTTGGAGTTTATTGGGTATTAAGCAATTTACATGAAGGATGTCAGTCATCGCTGTCTGCTATAAATCTAGCTGCTGTAATTAAAAGCAGTGATGTTAAGCGTTTTGGGTATGATAAAGTGCTGGAACCATTGAATGATGACCTTGTCACTTTGGAAAGACACGGACTTTTCATTGAAAAACTGGAAAGGACTGTGAAGGGCACAGTTCAATGCATTGTTGCTGATAACCTTGGGGCTCATAGTATTGCTGGATTTGTAGAAAGTTTCTCTGGAAAATATGTCTGCAGATTTTGTACAGCAGAGAAAGAAGAATACCAGATTCGTGAAGTTGGATCTGAAACATTCTGCATAAGAACTGAAGAACTACATTCTGCTCATCTTCAGTTTATAAAAGACAATGACCTACCTCACCATTTTGGTGTGAAAGGTGGGTGTGTGTTTTCAGAAAAATTATCACACTTCAATGTTTGCACAGGGTTCCCAGCTGATGTTATGCATGATCTCTTTGAGGGTATTGTCCCTTTTGAGATAGCTTTGTCTTTGACAGTCTTTTTATCTAAAAAGTATTTTACATTGGAACACCTAAATAATGCAATTCAGAACTTTCCATTTAAATGGAATGACAAAACAAATCATCCACATACTGTTCCTCTCACATTTTCTGCAAAAAGAACAGTGGGGGGTAATGCCCATGAAAATTGGAGCCTGTTGAGGTTTTTTCCTTTTTTGATTGGAGACAGAGTGCCTGCCAATGAACCTGCATGGCAACTTCTAAATGATCTGAAAGATATTGTGGATCTTGTGGTCGCTCCTTCACACACCAATGCTTCCATAGCATATCTGGCCTTCAAGATATCTGAACATAGAATCAGATTCCAAGAGATTTTTCCTGAGACTAAACTTTTGCCCAAACACCACTACTTGGAGCACTATCCTGAGCTCATAAAAAATTTTGGCCCTTTGGTTGCTCTGTGGACAATGCGGTTTGAGGCTAAGCATAGCTTCTTTAAAAGAGTTGTGCGTCACACAAACTGCTTCAAGAATGTGCTCCTATCATTGTCACAAAGACATCAGTTTCATATGGCATATCATCTGCATCAGTGCACCTCTCCTGCACCAAGTTTGGAAGTATCACATGTTTCTAAACTTCCCATTGATGTTCTTAATGAAGACATATCACAGGCTGTACAACAGAAACACCCAAACCTGGAGGCTGTGTGCTTGGCCAAGGAAGTAACTTTTAAAGGCTTCACCTACAGAGAAAGTATGGTCATTGCTTATGGAGAATGTTCTGGACTTCCGGAGTTTGGTGAAATTGTGCAGATTATTGTGTTGCAGGACAAACCACTGTTTGTTGTCAAAAGACTTGATGCATAGTATACTGAACATTATAGATCCTATGTCTTGGTAAAATCTTCTGACAAAAAAATTGAGCTTTTAGCGCACTGACCTTACAGACCCATATTTACTTGTTCAGTACACAATTGGGGGGAGACGCATGGTGGCTCTGAAGAGATATATACATGTTTGAATAAGGTTAGAATTGTTTTTAAATTTTGAGAAAAATGCACAAGATGTAGTGAACATGTAAATGTCTGCCATTTATCTATTATTATTATCTGTATCTAATCTTATTTTTTTTCCCCTCCCAGAATATTTAAGCATGTCAGGAAGATCTGTCAAGCTTTTGGTGATTGTGAGTCAAGATGATTCCAGAAAGTTGCTTCTGCCAGATGGGATTCCTGAATCAGTGGATGAGCTCATTGAAAAAGTGAGGGAAGCTTTTGGATTAAATGGTAGATTCCGACTACAGTATCAGGACAAAGATTTTGGAGATGTATTTGTAAATTTGACAAACACAAGAGAACTTCAGAGTCTTGGTACTCTGAAGATTATCCCCTTGCCAGACAATGACTCAGGCCGTACTCACACTAGGTACAGTTGCCTCGAACCGGGCCAAAGCACGCATGTCCCCCCTCCCGTCTCCCCCGACGGCCCGCGCTCACACCATACCGGGCCACGGCACGCTTACGTCATCGCTGCTGCGCTGTTCAGAAGCGCTCTCTATGGCAAGCCTTTTTAGCATTTAAATCTTTGTTCTGACTCCATAAATATATTTAGAGATATCTCTAATTATATTTTGACTAGTCATAATTATAATTCGACTAGTCAGAATAACAATTAGAGATATCTACAATTGCAAATGTACTAGTACGAAATCAGATTGGAGATATCTGCAAATATATTATGACTAGTCATATTCCTCCATTGACTTGCATTGAAAAATATTTGCAGATATCTCTAAATAAGTTTTGACTCGTCACAATTGTAATTAGAGATATCTCTAACTGAGTTTTACTAGTCATACAGATGTCTTTAATTCGTAATATTTAGAGATATTTACAAATATATTTGAAGATATCTCTAATTAATTTACTAATAGTCGAATTACAGTTGTAGATATCTTGAATTGGATTTTTGACGAGTCAAAACTCAGAGATATCTGCAAATATTTTTCAATGGAAGTCAATGGAGGAATATGACTAGTCATAATATATTTGCAGATATCTCCAATCTGATTTCGTACTAGTACAATTGTAATTGCAGATATCTCTAATTGTCATTCTGACAAGTCGAATTATAATAATGACTTGTCAAAATATATAATTATATCTCTAAATATATTTATGGATAGTCAGAACAAGGTTTAAATGTTAAAACGGCTTGCCATACGCTCTCATTTAGCAGCACAGTGGAGATTTCTCTAGTTATATCCTTTCAGTCGTTTGTTATGCAGTGACATGCAGTCAAATATTTCGCCAAACAGTCCTTAGGGATGCGGGGACACAGTCAGATATTTTACCGAACAGATCCGCCACTTTTGGCGCTCGTAAACAATCAAAGCTCTCGTGCTGCAGGAATGAGGAGATCTGCTGAAGGCGCGCAGCTGGCGTGCTGTGAGGAGTTTGCGTCTTTAATAAACTACGGCAGTTTGCGATCACTGAACAGTAAGAATGATTAATAAATCCATATCAAACAGTCCCTTAAAAGTCACGTCTCGCTTTCGGTTTCGGGCTTTGGCGCGTTTCGCGCTCACACACAAGCGTACCGCGCCAAAGCCCAAGTGTACCGCGCTCAGGCACACCTCTTCCAACCGGGCCAGGGCCGGCCAAGTGAACCGTGCTTGAGCCCGATTCAGCGCACTCACACTTCTCAAACGATCCGGGAAACGGGCCTGGGCACGGTACGGATGGCATAGTGTGAGTAGGCCCTCATTCATTGCTCAAACATTTGATGGAACCCAGTCTAATGATGATGCTCTGTCCTCCGTTGGCTCTGGTGACACTGATGATACAGTCCTGCTCTCATCCCCTAGCTCAGAAACAGTTTCTACAAGACATCAACAGTGGCCAAAAGAATTTAATATTCCACGCTTTTCTTATGACACTGAACTCCAATTAGAGAGAGGGAATGCTCTTTTTAAGACTAATGGAACAAGGCTGACTGTCACTCCAAAGATGAAATCCGATATTCTGGAGAAGGTTTGTGATGAGATATACAAGTATAAATCTTATCCCAGCAGTGCAAACTTCTGTGAAGTTTCAGAGGCGCTTATCAAGAAACACCCTTGCTTGGCAGAAAAAGGATCCTTCAATGGGTGCTATGGTTGGACACAGAGACTCAAAATGAAGATGGGAAACCTACGCACACAGTTAAAAGGTCTTGGATGCCCTGAGTATTTGGTAAATTCTCTGAAAACCAAAGCCTCAGATCATCCTTTTCCAGCAAAGAATGTGAAACGACCTAAACGCGGTGAGGCCAATCATATCCCATCCCTTCCTGCTGGAGAGACGACAGCAAACCTTGAAGTTGAGCGGCTGGCACTTTTAAAAGAAGTGAAGAAAAGAAACAATGCATTGACAATCAGAGAAAAAATGACAAAGACGTTCGCCTTACGCAGACAAGAAATTGTGGAAAACAAACCTAGTGTTCAAGAACTGCAAGAAAGATGGCCTGCGCTGTTTCAACAAGAGGAGGTACGTTTATTTTATTGAGAAATTTAAATGTAAGTGACTAATCCTTAATTTACCATCACTTTTACCATAGGATTGTAGCAACTAGTGTATTTGAAAATGCTAGATCAGTGTTTCTCAACTTTGTTTTTGGAGAACCACCAACTCTGCACATTTTCCATATCTCCTCAACAAAACACACCTGATTCAGATCATCAGCTCATTAGTAGAGACTGAAAGAACTGTAATGGGAGTGACAGAGAAAGGAGACATTCAAAACATGCAGTGTTAGTGGTCCTCCAAGAACTTGGTTGAGAAACACTGTGTTAGATGACTTAATTATACCTTTTGTTGTTTAATGGTTTATGTTTATATTTTTACAACTAGTTCTCAAAGTAAAATCATTTTTTCTAAAGTCTGTTTTCTGTTTCTCTTTTTTACAGATTAATGCCGAATTTTTGCTCATCACGACCTTACCTTTACAGTCAAAATTTATGGCCTCTTTGGACAGACAGAGCGCTCAGCTTCTCCAGGTTATTAGGAGCAAAGGTGGAATGTTCCGTGACAAAACTAAGGACATTGTCAAAGTTATGGATCAGGTATTGGTTGCATGCAAACACATTTTCTTATGGAAATCAATTAATAGTGTTTTAGTCTACTGAAAACAATACATCTTGAACAATTTTAGAGCCTGGACGTAGACATCAGAAGAGAGTGCTTGCTGAAGTGCCTGATCCTGTACCTTGGTGAAGATGCAAGCTGTCTAATCAAAGAATACCAGGTAATGTGGATAATGCAAACTACTCAAATTTTTTCCAACTATGTTTGACTTAGTTCTCTACTAAATCAACATTTCCTCATTTTTCCAAACCTCGGGGGTGAGTAAAACGTGGGGAAATTTTAATTTGGTATTGACATAATACGATAAAGTAGTTTAAGTAATTGTGTTATCATTTGCACATCAGCCTGTGTGAATTTCTTCCATTGAACACAAAAGAGCATGTTTTGAAGAATGTTGTTAAGAGCACCTATTTACTTGCCTGGGTTTTGTGTCCATGCAAGAATAGTGGATAGGGGCTGTTACCAACATTATTCAAAATTTTGCAGAGGACAGTAATTCATTCATGTTAGAAATGGCAATAGGGCATGTAGATGATGGCTGGATTGTAAACGTGAACTCATTTAAAAGGGTGTTTTTACCTAAAACTGCATTTTGAGCACTATTAAGTAGATTGATCAATGCCTCTGATTGGCCATTGTGGTTCTAAAATATGTTATTGTCTACAATTGTCATTATATGGAAGTGTTTGTTTGTACAAGTGTTTAAAAGCATTTCTAAAGCCAAAGAGAGTGTAAAAGTACATCTTCATCCAAAAAATTGTCATCTCTTACTCTTTTAATAAACTGTACAAATTTAATTTTTATGCTGAACACAAGTGAGGATATTTGAATGAAATTTAGCAACAGACATTTTGGCTCTACATTGACCACCATAATAGTACAGCTAACTAAATTTTGTAATGCATTTTCAGATCATGGGGTGTGTTTTATTTATACACAATGTTTTTTTTTTCCAAAGTTCCTTTATTTATTTTTTTCTTGTATGTTTCAGGCTGACCAGAGGGAGGAAGCAGAAAGCGAATTTGAAAAGACCACCATGGCACTTTTTGTGATCCGTGAAAGGGATGCTCTTAGTCATGCACTGGACATTTCCATTGTAATTGATGGTGTGGAAGTACTTCATGAGTTGCCCTCTGTTGCATGTGCCTGTGCCATGATGTTTGGACTCATTTATGCACTGAACTTAAAATATCCTGAAGGACTCAAATATACCTTTGAGGCCTTCCAGAAACTAATCATGGACATAGAGAGTATGCAGATAAGCCGAAGGGTGCAGAACCTTTCTTCAAAGCTGCAGGAGTAAGCAGATGTGCTGAAGAACCTCTATGCTGCAGGAGTAAATTTGTTACCTTTGACCCAGCTACAATGTTCTGCTGATGGTAATTTTTTTTTTAATATGTTGGACTGTATAAAGCCTTTTAAACAAAGATAACTGCTCTACAGTTTACTTAACCTAACGTGTTTTATCTTAGTAAGTTAGTTCACCTAAAAATTAAAATTCTTGCAATTATTTACTCACTCATCCTTAAGGTATTCAAAGTATTTTAAATTGTTTAAATTAGGTTTAGAGAAATTTTATTACAATTATAAGAGAAGTTTCATTTTTAGGTAAACTATTCTATGAAGGTGAAAATACAATTCCCCCCTCTTTCTTCAGTTGGCTAATATGGTAGGTGTTTTAAGTGTTTGATTTTCCACTGCTCATTTTAAATAATTTTCTTGGAGCAAACTTGTTTTAACTTAAAAATAATTCAGAAGGTTTGATTGTGTAGTCAGTTCATAGTTGACTGTTCATGGGAAGATTACAGAATTCTAATAGTTTTGTGTAGTCAGTTTTAAATGACTGTTCATGAAAAAATGGCATGTTTCTCTTGGAAACCATAACTGATTTTTATGGTGAATTTACATTGTATCCAGTGTCTATGTATATAGATACTAAAGACTGTTGTACAGTAAGGTTTTATAACAATATGCACATTGTAGAAATTTATGACAAAAGTTGTTAAGTTAATATGTTTACATTTGTTAGACAGTGTGTATTTGTAGGAAGATACTGTACATGTTATAAAAATGTGGTATTGACAAAATAAATTGTCAAAAGTTTGGTGCTTGGAGTCATTCATCTTAAACAATAAAATTACACGTTTTGAAAGCAAATCAATTTCTTTATATTACATTATCATTTTAAGTTGTATTTGATTGGATATTTGATTTGATGTAAAGTAAAATAATTAAATTAATACAAAGTGAAAACATTGAGTAAATAAAGTAAATTTGAGATTTCATTAAACTTAAAAACTTTATTTGGTTCAAAGAGACTTTTTGCTTTGGCTAATGTTGGACTATTTCTCACTTGCCTTAGTCCACCCCAATTCAATAATCGGTCAGGAGTCAATTAATCAAAATCAATGAATTTATTTATCGAGCATAAGTGAATAAAGCGAAGGTCAGGATCCTGGGCTTTTGAAGAACCGTCAGCCAAGCAGTCTGGATGTCCAAAAGCTCTCGAACTCTCTCGACTCCCTCCTTTTATCCATCAGCAGCGTTCAATCTTTTTGGCCACTCCTCTGATCAGTTACCCCCAATCTCTATTGTTGCCATCAGCTGTTATCAGGCAGAATCATCTCTCAAAGGTCTGTGGTCTGCACACAGAGATACCTCTGCACACAGAAACAAAAGGGCAGGTGAAAGTATCACTTCTCCTTGACATACTTGACACTACTGACATCTGGGGTGCAGCAAGCAACTGTAGCAAAAAATCATCAAAGCACAGCTGAGCATCATAAATTCCTTATAGAATTATCAGGATAATATCAATTTTATTAAAGCATCATACATCACGCATACACAGAAAGCAGTATAAAAATGCTGCATCTATCACATCAGCTTTTCCTCCTAGTCCTGTCTATGAACTCTTGACCTGTGTATGCACCCATCTAGGGGAAGCACTTTTGCAGATCTGTCTCCAGCCAGCACCCACACACAGCTCTTGTGGTTTTAGCAGTTAGTTAGAAACACATTATAACAGGGGTTAAGTAGAAGTACGCTATATCAGGAGACATCATCATATCTGACAAAAACACATATTGTAAATAATGAATAGTGAGGCAAATGGGAGTATATTTCTCCAATAGCAAATATATATCAAAAGAAAAGAGTGATTAGTAAGACAATAAAGCAATATTTTCCTCATCTGCTCCAGTTCTCCTTTCTGTATAGAAAAGTCACACGTCACAGCTGCAACCCAGACAGGGACTTTCTGCAAGACTTGTTTGTTACAGATTTAGTTATTTGACATTATAGGGGTGAAAGTTCCTGTCTCATTTTAAGGTCAAACAGAATGTCTCATCATATCATTGCGTGGGCTCATTAGATTATCATGGTTCAAGCAAACACATATGCATTATAAGCATGAGCACATATATATAATTCAAAAGAAGCATTAGACTGTAATTTTATTCCTTCAATTCCCTCTCTTGATCTCTTTAGAGATCACACTTCTGCTTCTTCTTCCTTAGAGTCAACATCTCTTATTCCCAGCAGTGGCATACTGTAGGGAGGCGGAGCCTCTTTCTTCTTAATTGCTGCAACAATCATTCTGTTACACAATGACCTAAAACATGGTATGCAACAACAACCAAAAGTAACCAACATCCCCAAAAATATCTCCAGAGAATGCATAATCAATATTATTACTCCCTTCCAATTGCCAAACATATCAGTAAACAACTTATCAATGGGGTTATTAATACCAGAGTGTTCCTGCATCTCATTAGACAAAGCCCTCAGTCCTTCCAGGGCCCTAGTCACCGATTCGTCCAGGGCCATGTTATATAAGAAGAACGTTTTTATGTTTTTTTTTTTTTTTTCACATATTAAAATTGAAACAGTTGTATGCTCCCTCTCTAGGGGTAAACGAACCAGTTTTAGGTGATGCTAAAGTAGTAACGATGCTAAAGTAGTATGATTAGTATCTTGTTTTTTTTATTTTTAATGTAATTGACTGCTATAAAGGTGTCAGAACGTTTAACCTGGTGCTATAAAATCCATATGCTGCAGCTGACGTTATTTCAGTGTTAAACTAATGTAAACACACCAACCCTATGAAAAAATGATGATAATAATTGAAAGGCTGATGACTTTGCATGTTGTTGTTTTTTATTTTTATTTTCAGCGGGTTATGGTTAAAATATGGTAATTCTGATATTTTAATAAAATTAATTTGATTTTGGAAATAACTCTTGTCAATGTCCCACGGACCCCACTTTGGGAACCACTGAGCTACACAACAACTCAAATGTTGTTCTCTGGCTGTGACAATTCTTACCAATTCAAGGGCCACTCCTAAGGGTGAATCAGATGAGATGCAGTAACACTTTCAATTCTGCAACTATTTAAAGCAAGAACTATCACGTCATATAATATTTAAAAAAAAAAAAATAATAATAATAATATTTAAATATAAAAATAATATTTAAAAAATTTCAAACCCTTAAAGGATATAGGGGTTAATTTATAAACTGTAGATTGTGATCAGCATATTAACATCAGAAAACACTTCATTGATTATTTGCAAAACTGTGGTGAAGTCCGGTTTGTCCAGGCAACACCCAAGCCGGGGTACAGACACACTGCTCACTCTGAGTAACAGACACTAATATTTCATCTAAATCAGACTGGCTTTAAAGTCTTCATATGTTAATTTGTTAGTAGTCAATTTTTTGTCACCAGATGAAAGATAATCCTGTCTTGGTTGTTTAAATTTAATTTCAATCTTTTTACACTGTATCTTTCTCTGAATTGTTTTGCTATATCAGCCCCAAAAGCACAGTCAGCACTTACACAGTGAGCTAATGGTTCATTGTCCAGTGTTTGAAATAGGTGTTCAATTTTGTTCAATTTTAAATTTTCTATTTGTCAGAGTGGCAGCAAGTAATTGGTTGTGTGTGTTGCAGGTCTGTTAGTGTCAGTGTCTCGTATAATCTGAGTCTCCCTCTCTTGGACCTGAGAAGTCAGGTCCACTCTAATTTCTGCAAGAGAATGGTTAGGATTATTACATGCAACACAGGATGAGAGGTGGTACCAGCTATCACCCCTGCCAGCAACCTTAACACAATGGGACAATCTGGCAATGACTTTGTATGGTTCAGACCATGTGGGCTCCCTCCACTTCCTCTTAAACAGGCAAAGGTCTACCCAATCAGCAGCATTGGCCACTGGTTCCTTAGATTGTTTGTCAGGAGTGATCTATAAAGACAAAAGCTGCAATCAAAGAAGTTAGTTTGTCATGATAACATCTTGGTGATAATGGTGTAAATGCTTTCCAGGGACAGCGCAGAACTCTGGCCAGGATACTGTCGACCTGTCAAAAGCTCAAAAGGTGTGAAGTCGGGTCCTGTTGCAGAAGAATGTATAGACATTAATGCAATAGGCAAAACATTCAGTCAGTTCATTTTAGTGTGTACACAGATTTTAGCCAATTTTCTGTCATATCTATAAATATATTTAATGCCGGCAGTACCATGAAAATGAGCCAGACCCAAGGAATGCTCAACAGTTTTCTGTTCCTGAGATAGGTCGACCCAAGGAGGTAAAGAAACCAGACCTCCGCCACTGTGGCAATTTGACATGTACAGCTGTACCCACATATGCGCATTCAAGTTAGATGTTAACCCTTAAATCTTTTGCTAACTTAAGTGATTCAACCATTGGTATCATTTAGACTTTTCCAATTTATATGCCCTAACCTGTCCTCAGACTTCCATCATCTGCTCTAAAACAACAGCCATCAGCAAACTCAGAACTCTAGGAAGAGATGTCAATTACAGTCCAGTCAAGACAGGCCTTAATTAATTTTTTTTTTAAAAACCCAATTCAGTGATAGGTGCACAATCACAGGAAAGTCAGTTATTATATGTATGGCATTCATAATTGAAACTATTCTATATTGTTTTTTTTAAATGTCAGAAAGTAAATTAGGTTTAATTCCCAACTGATATGACTAAGTGTGTTATTATAGGCTTTTTTATGGTTAATATAAGGCTTACGTAACATTAGATTTTTTTTTTTTTTTCCAATTTGCGACTTTCAGTTTTGTCATTGTTCCCAACTCCTCGGCTTCATGCACTGGATTTATGGCAACTAAAACATGTGGTAAAGCTGTGTCAGCCATCTCATACCTTTTTTATTGTTCATCAGTTAATTTAATTTGGGTGACCACCCCCTCTTTGCCAATTAGTAGACCCTTTCCCTGTAACACCCATTTTGTGCCCACTAGTGACAAGCATTCATCTTCATAGTATAATTTATCGTTTCTGTCATGGAACAGTGTGCAGTGTAGGGGGTCAGATGGTGGTAAGTGAATGCCTAATTGGTTAATCCTGGGTTTCCAAAGGTTGTATAGGGAGACCAAACTGTCAGGGCTTTAGCCTGTGTTGTCCAGCTCCACCTAGTAGATATCAGCACCCTCCCACAACTTGCATGTGGACAGTAACCACTGTCCATCTCATGACGCCCCATGTTTTGAGCAGTTAAATGACCTGTCATTAGGGAAGGTGATGATAACCCCATCAGGTGAACCCAATATGCTGGCTCCCAGTTTAACTAATAAATCTTTCCCCAGAAGGGCCACAGGCACAGTTGTGGAGTAGAGAAAACTGTGGCTTAGTTGCTGGTTAGCCACGGTGACGGGTATTGGTTTTTGTAGCTGGCCATCTTTCTGCTTCCCCAGAGAACCTATTACTTCAATTGTCTTGCTTGACAACATAACATCAGTCACTGCCCCCTTCGTGACTTTAGTAAGTGTGGCCTCAGTATCCACCAAGGCTGTTAATGGCCTAGCGTTGACCATTATCTACAGTAGGGGTTCGGCCTGTCCCCCCCTGCTGGTTCTCTGTGGGTCCCGTCAATAAGTCTCCGCCTCATCCCCCAGGTCCCACACTGGGAATTGAGTGGGCACCTGGTTCCCCCGGGGTTTAGGGGCTGGGGATGACGGGAGAGTTTGTATTGGTTCTGGTCGCCTGCCTCGACCAGCAGCCCCACCTCTTCGGGGATCCCAACCCCCCGCAGGT